TATAATTTTTAATGTTTATTAATATCTATATTTATAGACATTCATTTTTTTATAATGAAAAAAATGAGTTAATTATTTTATCTAAATTTCAAAATACCTGTTTTAGAGTTTTTTTTTTTTTTAGAGAAAAATTGAACGCGTCAATAACAATTATAGGACGAGTAATTATTGAGTTAAAAGCATTTTAATAGATAGTGTGAGTATGTAAAGCAGGTGAGTACAGCTGTTACTGTTGTATATTTACAACGCAAACTCTACATGCTCAACATACCCATTCTATCTATTAAAATGCTTGTAATTCTATAAGTATTTCCCTAAAATTGTTATCATCATTTTTGTAAGAATATTGCTGAAAATTAGCTTTTTTAAATTTTGAAAAATTTCAAATAAAATTATTCTTATTGTTAAAAAGAAATAGTAAAAAATATGATTTTAGAAGCTATAGGAGTTATCAGTTAGATCTGTTCCACTCTGTATGTATAAAAATATATATATTTCTTTTTGTTAAAGCAAAACAAATATTGAAATGGGAAAGTCTAATTCTATCAATGACACATGTGGTGTATTAACAGGCCAATTACGACAAATACTCGTAATCATACTGAAATACATAAAAGACGGAAATAGGAAATATGAAAGTTAAACTAGTATATTAGTATTTACCTTTGATTTCGTCTTAAAAAGTCAAAGTTGGTTCAACAAAATTGTACCAATTAAAATGGTAGCAATGTATACATTGCACTGTAAACTTTAGTCCCTCGTTACATTATTTAAAGTTTTTACCATTACTTTTAAAAAGGTATTAAATTAAAAATTGCATATAATGAAAAATACGTTTTCTTATGTAGTGTTGACTCTACAAAACTTATATTTTCTGATATTAAATCTGCCAGTTGATACGGTATGTAACATACACCCAACAATAGAAAGGCTTTCACATGAAAGAAAAATGGGATATCTGGTGGTGACATTTTAAAAGGTATTTAAACAAATAAAAACTATTAGTTCTGCGTAAGTGCCTAAAAGTGTGATAGCTCATAGGGAAACTAAAAAATAAAAAAATTTTAATATCAAAGCTTTTAAAAAGATGAAAAGATTATTGGATCAATGAAAATTGCAGACTAAAAGTATATCGTGTACGAATTATAATCAATAATATTCTTGTATCGTATCAACGAGTATTTTATCTTTATAAAATACAATGTGTTCGCTAATAATTAATAAATTCATAAATACCGCTGGTTTAAAATGGAATTTTATCGTTACGAAAGAAGTACCGCTTCTATGGATAAAATAAAAATAAAATTTATTTCAAAAAGTGTATACCAGAATGCAGATATTTTATTGTAAAATTTATTATTATTTCTAATTCCGACATTTTTGCGTATACTGCTTTAGTTTTTACCTGTCAATTTCTAGCATATTTATAATTCTATAATATGTATATATAGCTTCTAAGAAAATAAAAGCTAATTTTTACAAATGATCAGAAAGGTTTGTGTATCTAATAACTAAAAATTTTATCCTATTCTATTTTAAAACAATTTTTTACATGAAGTCAAAAGTTTAATAGTTAAAAATATGTCTTAATATTTACAAAAATAAAAACATGGTTAAACTATTTTTCTTAGTGATTACATAAAAAAATCAGACATTTAATAAACTTTACCCTTGATATTGAATATTATTATTTATTATATTATTAATAATAATAATAGATAATATATTAGAATATAGTTTTTAATATTACTTATAGATAATAAAAATGACTTTATCGTTATTAATTTTGGAAACAATCTAGTTAAATTTATGACATTTAAAAATAACTTTTACTTAAAAAAAAAATGAAATTTTTAGCAAAAATTTGATTGAAATTTTACTTTAATCAATAATTGCTGTGCACAATTAAAAAATGTGAAATCAATAAAAAATTTATTTTTTCAAATCAAATTATTAAAGAAAACTGTTTTTGACTTTATCCAGATCTTTAAAGAAGAAATGATTTTTTTTAGCTATAATTTTTCTGACAGATTCCATGGGGGGAGGGGATAAATTGATACTATTGCCTACCCGTATTTTAATTGAAGGGGTAATTCCCTTCCAAAAACGTATATTTCTACACTATTATATAATCCTAAGACAAAGTTGCATAAACCTTCGAAATTACTCAAACAAAATTTATAAATACATATAATTCCTAGCCCTATATATGATATTTATAGTTCAAAATTGAGAAAACTATTAATATTTAAATATCAAACATGTTAAAAACTCGGAAACTAAAGAAAATGTATGCCAGTGAAATGGAAATTGAACCCAGGTATCTGGCTATCCCTCTAAGCTATCCGACAGCCATACTTAATCCTCAACTCCCGAATATCATAAATGGTTGATAACAAACTACAGGGAAGTTAGGTTCATAGATACTCCAAAGCTCTTCCAGTTAATCGCTACATATTTTGACATGATCATATGCATTGTTGAATGAAAAATCTCGGCCATTCAAAGAATACCTATCCGCCAAATAGCATACACGACTAACAACACTAGATATTACATTTTAAAAATACTAAACACAAATAATCTACTAAAATATAAATTAAGTATTTTGTTTCTGCTGTCTGATTTAATTGAATGAACAGTAACATATATTCGCGGCCAGACGCGACCTAGTTAAAAATAGAATTCATCTTTGCTTTATTATTTAAAAATATGTTTTGATACTAGCTGCGAGATGTCCTAAAACATTTTTTTGAATGGTGCATATTGACTTGTCAGAGTCGGCAAATTTTTCAATTAAAATTGACATTACATTAAAAATTCGTATACAGAAGAACTTACTTTTACTCTTCATTTTTAAAAAAAGCATCACCTTAAACGTCCCAAGGTACGTTTCTATATTAACTGCAACTTTTACTGTCATTGTTTGTTATTTAATAATTATTTCTTTTTAAAATTATAATATTTTTAATGATAAACGTTATAATAACAATAAATTAGAATATTACCTAAATTATTAGGTTTGTGTACTAAGTTAAGACTTATAAGATTATGAGTAAAAAAGATATCGATTAAACTCCTCGTTTTGACGGTTAAATTTTCCAAGGTCGAATTTGATTGCAAATTGTAAGTATAAGGAGCTAAAAATAATTTTAATATTAACTTTTAGTTTACTAAATAAAGTTAATTACGGTAGACATTTTGGGACAAGAATATGCTTACAGTTATGACATTAAATACAATAAATATCAAACTTGTATAACATCAAAATCTGAATAATACGAAAAATATGGTCAATGTGTACTTTAAATATGAGTGAATAATATAAGTAATAAAATATGAAAAGTGAAATGACGATACTTTTCGGTCTATTCATGACAACATTTATAATGGAAATATTTAAACAGCACCCATTCTATTTATAAAATGATAGATAATCAAANCTATTCATGACAACATTTATAATGGAAATATTTAAACAGCACCCATTCTATTTATAAAATGATAGATAATCAAAAATAGCAAAAAATCTTCACATTATTATATCTTATCTAAATAACGACACCGTTTGAGAAACCTATTATTTATATAATTAATAATAACAATAATTTTGAATTATATACCATTGTTTAAACAAAAAAACTGAATTCAGACGTGATTGTTACTTTTGGGTGCGGAAAACTTTTATAGAGGTATTCAAGTATAAATTTATTTAGATTCATGTCCATTTCATCTTCGAAAGTTTGTTTATTTATTTGATTTCAATTGATTTTTATTTATGACTACTCATCGACAGGACCAACAACTTCTCCAAATGAAGGTAGATATAGAATGTTAATAATATACTCTTAATTATTTAAATTTAGCAACACGCACGAGATTAGGTACTTTATNTTTATTTAGATTCATGTCCATTTCATCTTCGAAAGTTTATTTATTTATTTGATTTCAATTGATTTTTATTTATGACTACTCATCGACAGGACCAACAACTTCTCCAAATGAAGGTAGATATAGAATGTTAATAATATACTCTTAATTATTTAAATTTAGCAACACGCACGAGATTAGGTACTTTATTACGAGTTACGTGAATTGCCACGTACAGATAATGCCTGACATTCACGTACGTACTCGATATCATGAAATATGCTCCGAATAGTGTACCAATTAGTAATAATACCGGATTACGATACATTCTTGTGATACTACGATATTAAGCCAAAAAAACGGTAGCATAGTAGGATTTGGTTGGGTTTTATATAATATTCATGAAAATCAGTGTACTCCCTTATAAGGTATTTTAAAATACAATACTAAGAATTTTAACACAAAAATAGCATGTTTTTAATTTAACTACGCCAACCATTTGCACATAGACCGTAAGTCGTAGGGACAATGTTTTTGTTTTGAACTTATAGTACATAACATCAGCTTTATTTTAACATATGTTTGAAGCTCGGAGTATTTCCGGAACATTTTCAAAACTCAAGTTGAAAAATTTTAATTTTTATGCAGAATTTGCTATTTTGAATCCCCCTCCGTGGGCAAGTAAAGGGTCAGATTTTCAAAAAAATTACATCAAATGAAAGGAAAATATCTAAGGTTTTAATATAAAAAAGAATTATTTAAAATTTTTCATTTTTCAAAAAGTTATGACAGTTTAAAAAAAAAAGTCGAAATTTACCGATTCTATTAATTGTAATTTTTTGGGAAATTTTCACTATTTACGGGGTACGATTGCAAAAATTTTAAATTGTGAGGATAATGTCTTCACTAGATATGATTTGTGATCTTTTGACGTATCATTGAGAAAAATAGGTCCAATGAGAGCTATAAAAAAGTAGTGACAGTCACAAAAAAAAAAAAATAATAATAAAAACATCATGGTAAAATTAATACCTTCTCAACTTCGCATCGAAGCTAAAAAAAAAAACGATTGTGAGGGATTCTAATGATGGAGTGAATTTCATCATAAACAATTAAAAAGAAAAACAAAGTTGTGTTTGAACCATACATTTATTCTTACACATATAACACCACAATTAAGCAACAAATTCATAAGGTAGAGGAGCTAAACTAATTGGTTCTGTACCTCTGACAATATGTCCAGGTCGTGGTCCTTGTGGCTGCAAATAGAAAAAAATATTATTAAAATTTTTAAAATAAAATATTTATATATTGTATTTTAATACAACAATACCTAAATAAAATGATTACTTATATACAATAAATCATCATAACCATATCCCAACTATTTAGAGTCGCCGTGTTTTAATTTAATTTTATACCGACTATTGACCTGATTCAACTTCATTATGACTCAGGGATCTACTATGGAAACTAATTGTGTCACTGCTGAAGTTCCCATATGATCACCTATCAAGGAACCAACAGCACAGCTAAATATCATCTGAATAATCTACTGCACGACATCACCCCCCTAACTCATATACAATAAATATTACACTCAAATATTTATCATTAAAAGACATTTTCAAACAACAAAAATGTCTCTTTTACTCAGAAAAAACCATCAACACAAAATTCAATCTGGGGCGGTTTAATATCATAAATTTAACTAAATAATCATTTTTAACTTAAAATTTACAAGACTACAAATAGCATTTAAAATATTTTATTTTATAAAACTCATACGAAAAATTCATTTACATGTTTTGCTTAGGGCAGTAAATTTCATTGTAACTGATAATTAGTGAACTGTAATAATTAATAAAATATACTTAAATTATTTCAATTAATTATGATTGATTTATTAATAATAACTTTTATTTAATATTCCCTAAGCTAATAAACTTTTGGCAAATTACAAATCATTACAACAATTACTATCAATAAACAAATTTTAACTTAATAGACAATATTAAAAATTAATTAATTTTGAAATTCTGTTACTACTAAATAACAATGAGTTTTAAAGAATACTCAGAATAATAGTATTATTAAAGTTAGGTATTTATATAGATAATTAATATCTTTTTTTTATAATAAAAAAAATTTACTGAACCAAAAGCAAATAGACAATGAAAGGGGAAAAGGGCACGTCAATTTAAACAATTATTTTTAATGAATGTTTTTGTAGATATTATAAAATACACTATACAAAGAGATTATTTTAATTTTAATACTTATCATATTATTTACATTAACAAAAAATATATATCATATATCTTTCACCAAGAACCAAAATTATGCAGTTCTTAAAAAGATTTTTCAATAAATATGAAATACACATTCAACAGTAACCTTTTAATATTTTGTTGATACATTTTTTCAAGTAACAAAATTTTTAATCGAGATATTTGATATGTGACCAGTGTAAAAAAATAGTTTTCATTCTTCTAAAAAGTCAATGTTTATAATTTGCAAGGACTGTGTATCATTAGTTTTATTTACACTAGAGAAACTATTTAAAGTTAATAGAAATAAAATTTAATTTTTGATTCAAATTCAGTTATATAAAGTTATTTGCAATATATGAAAATAATAATAATTCAAAATTAATAATATTCCATCAAAATTTATCATTTTTTAATATACTAAAAAATTTATATTTATTGTACTTCACCATAATTTTTATTTTCTATATTTTAAATAATATAAATTATAATTAAATTTGATACATGTTAAAAAATTTGCGAGTCATCAGATAAAACCAATCAACATGATATTCAGTCTGGGGCGGTATTTTATCATCATTAGAAAACTTATTTCTACAATATATTTATAGTGTTTACTATCAGATTAAAACAATCAATATTCTTTTAACCAGAGGTAGTAATATATACCATTTTAATTACATTAAACAAAATAACAGACCATTATTTTTATAAAACTAAAGTAAGTAATTTTATAAATTATAGATATTAAAATAAACACTGATATAATAATTTTAATAGGAAAATCAAATATTTTACATTTAATATTTCCATCAGAGAATACCTTCAACATGATATTCAGTCTGGGGCGGTATAATGTCATCACTGGATATTAAGTTTATTTCTATTATATCTAACATAAGAAATATATTTATTTACTTATATTAATTAAATTAAGAGGTTTGTTAAGCTTAGAGGATAGAAACATATGTTTTAGCGCATGAGATAGAAGGTTTGTTCACCTGGGTGGCAATGAATTTTTCTTATGATATTCTCATTGGTAGTGTCTGGTCTCAAGTACAAGACGACTATAATACCCGTGCCGCCCATCATTGGTTTAGACAAGAACAATCTTTGATCCCTAACATGTGAAAGAGGACCTGCACCCTCTGTATCTTGTTAAGTTTTGGAAATAGAAGGATGTAAACTTATACTAATTATATTTAAAAAATCAGAAGAAACCAATCAACATTTTCTTTTAGTCTGGGGCAGTATATTGTAATCACAAAATATTAGGTTAATTCATATTACTACGAACATTAGAAATATATTAATTTAGTTATATTATATATGTTAAAAAAATTTGTGAGTCATCAGATAAAACCAATCAACATTTTCTTTCAGTCTGGGGCGGTAAAATTCATCATAATTATAAAATATTTTTATAAAATTAAGTTAAGTAATTTTATAAATTTAAGCTATTGAAGTAAGCACAAATGATAATTTTAATGCACAATCCAAGTAAATTTTTAAATTATTTTACATTTAATTTGTCTATCAGAGTATACCTTCAACATTTATTTCTGTCTGGGGCGGTATATTGTCATCACAGAATATTAGGTTAATTTCTATTACTACTAACATTAGAAATATATTAATTTAGTTATATTATATATGTTAAAAAAATTTGTGAGTCATCAGATAAAACCAATCAACATTTTCTTTCAGTCTGGGGCGGTAAAATTCATCATAATTATAAAATATTTTTATAAAATTAAGTTAAGTAATTTTATAAATTTAAGCTATTGAAGTAAGCACAAATGATAATTTTAATGCACAATCCAAGTAAATTTTTAAATTATTTTACATTTAATTTGTCTATCAGAGTATACCTTCAACATTTATTTCTGTCTGGGGCGGTATATTGTCATCACAGAATATTAGGTTAATTTCTATTACTACTAACATTAGAAATATATTAATTTAGTTATATTATATATGTTAAAAAAATTTGTGAGTCATCAGATAAAACCAATCAACATTTTCTTTCAGTCTGGGGCGGTAAAATTCATCATCATCACATTTTTTTAACAATGTGCAACTACAGAAAACTTAGTAAATACAACATTTAAATGTACTACAGTATATATGACATACTTTACGCTTGAGGCAAACTCTAATGCCCTTTATTTTGGCTTCAGCTACTTTCTTTTCATTTTCTTTCACTCGCCTAAGGAAATCATCACGACATTTGGATGGGTTAACATGTTCAATACGAATGTTTATTCTAAAAAGAAACCAAATATTAATTATAAATTCAACTAAGTTAATTTAACTATTTAAATGATAGAACAAAATTATACTTCAATTTATTATTAGATCATAGGTAAAAATAAAATTATTAACAAAAATTTTAATTACATAAAATAAAAAACTTGTAAAATTACCTTTTAGGAATAATACGGTTACGAACTCGTTTGTTAACAATTACTCCAAGAGCATGTTTAGAAACATTAAATACACGGCCAGTTTTACCGTGATACACTTTGTAAGGCATACCTTTTTGTACAGCACCATTTCCCTAATAAAATATTGTAAAATATAAAAACTACAATAAAATTTCAAAATAATTAATTAATAAATGAAAATTGTGGATCACATTAAAATAAATACCTTTATGTCTACTCGATCGCCAACTTTATACACTTTCATGTAAGTTGACAGAGGGATAACTCCGTGTCTGCGGAATTTTCTGGAGAATAAATCTCGAGTTCCATGTCTATAACCTTTTGAGTTGGTCATTTTAGTGCGTCACCTTTGACATGAATTAAATAAATTATTATGACGAAAAACTAATATAAAAACTATTATATTTCATCAAATGTTAAGGAAATTGAGTACTTATAATAAAATTAATACTAAATAAAATTCAATATATGATAGTCAAATTATAAAACTAAGAGAGCTACAATTCTTCCTTTATGACTAAAATCTTCTACATTTTTAACATACTTTAAATTAAATGTAAAAAATAGTTTAACTAAAATAGTCAATCTATGACATAAAAGAGTGTTTGAATTTTATATTTATTAATAATATCTACCCCAATTAACATGATATTAAGATAGGTTTCAAATCTTTAAGAAGCATTGATTATATTTAAATGTTCACTCAAAAATTTAAATTTTGTGACTTACTAATCATACAATTTGTAATTTATTAGTAATAGCTAAATTTATAATAAAATATAAACTAAAAATTAAATTAAGATTAAATTTACTCTCCTTTTTTTCTTTATAAGTGAAATACTATGTATATTTATAAAAGAAAGAAGGGATAATAAAATTGGGCCTCAATATCATTCAGTAAGAGAATTTGCTGAATATGTCTCCTGTCCAACAATTACAAAATTTTAGGTACACTACAGCTTTTACTTACTTATATTATTATAAAAGACAATTTTAATTTGTTTTATACTGCTACAAATTTCTAACTATTTCAAATTTTGTAATTCAACATAAAAATACGAGAAGAAAAAGTCTTTGTTGGTGAAATATTCTATCTCAAGGAAAAATTTTAATACCACAAAAACAGTAGTTTCATGCCTAGTCACAATATAATAACGATTTAATTCATTACAATTGATACTTTCAATGGGACATGTCAGGGGATTTTGACATAAATAAAAATGCTCAGATTTAACCTTCAACATAGCATTCAGCCTGGGGCGGTATAATATCATCACAGCAATAAAAAAAATACTAGATCAACAATTTTGGTTTATTTAAATCCCATTTACACTTAAATAGCTATTTAATTTATGTCACAAATATTTTTAAATATTTTAATTATAATGATAAGAGACACGACAATTGTTATAATATAATTATAATATATATAATATTATAATATAATTATAATAATATATATAATATTATAATATAATTATAATAATATATATAATATTATAATACAATTATTATAATATAAGTAAGAACATTAACATTTTCTTAATATTAAATTAATTATTATAATAATATTACGAAATAAAAGATCATTTAATTAAGCAAAATTACAAATATATTAGCTTTTTAAAAAGGATCAATTCAAATATTGTATATAACTAGTTTATAATACATTTACAATTTTAATTAAATACTAGTAACAGAAATTATTTCTCTTTTAAAAAAACTCGGATTATAGAAGATAATCATAATAGAAAAACTTACTTAGTCAGTCTGAAAACAAAAGTTTTAAGAAAAACGTGTACGTACTACGCGAGATTTAAGTAAAATATTATATTTTAGTAGGAATATAATTTTAAGGTTATGTTTATTACAATTGTACAACTATTTCATTTCTTTCTTCTATTATTTTTTGGTTACACATAACCACAGTTCAAACTCAAATCTGAATTGAGTATCAAGGTCTCTTAGATAACAGTCTATGGACACTGCGATATGCAAACAAAAAGGAGCAGCCATTTTATTGTAGGTATTGGTATTATCATTTTTTTGTCATGATAAGAATTAATACCGGTTGAGTGACAATATATATTATAAGAATTTTACTTTTAATCATTTTATTTCATTAATTTTCCATCTTTTATATAATAATTAATAGAATGGTTTATGTTTGCATTGTAAAAAACTGCATTAACTTAAGAATTGCTACCAAAAATGATGATTGTAAAATGTTTAAAATACCAAAGGATTTTCCTCGGTTAGTTTTTTTTATTATAAATTAAAAATAATATTTGTATCTTAAAAAATCTTAAATTTATTCAATAGTTATAAAAAATGGTTACAAAATTGCAACAGAAATGATTTGTTAGACAAATCAATTGATACGTTGAATAAGTATTATATGGTTTATAATGTTCATTTCAAACTTAATATGTTTTCTAACCCAGAAATTTTTTTCAAACAGTCTGAGGGCTTAAATTGTCTGAATGACTTAGATGAAATTTTAACTAATTTAAGTGATGTTGCTTATTACATTTATTCCTGAGAAAACTTATAATTTTTAAAAACTTAAAGTTGGTATGGTTGATTACCATGATTTAAGTTTTCCTGCTATAAATGCCCTAATTTATGTATGTGACTATCTAGTTAAGAAATCACTAGAAAAACATAATTGTGGTATATGTATTAGTGATGTTAAATCTCAAAATCAGTTAGATAAATCTTTTTTTTTTACATATTTTAAGGCTTACCATAATGAAAATTTATCCACTTATGGAAACATAAATAATCACCCGATGTCTTTGTAAATTATATTAGTGAATTAGATAATATTTTTATAGAAGAATTTCCAATAATTTCTGTAACTAATAATGTCTGAAAAGAAATGAGAAATTTAATAAGTAATATTCCCTTTAAACATCCATGTCCAAACTTTGATTAAGTTTTTTATTTAGTTATTTAATTAAGTTTTTAAAAAAACCTTTACATAAGACTGAGAATATTTAGTTCTTAAAAATTTTTAAACAAAAATATTTTATCAAAACCAAGAAAACTATGAAATTTGATATACTAACACATTAATAAAATACATTTACATGTTTTAGATTATTTGAAAAAGTTTTTATTATGTTTTAATTTATTAATTGTCTAATGATTGTTTAGGTAATAGATAAGAGAATAAGAAATGAGACATCGGTATCTAAAAACAGTTAGGATTTATGCATGGTAAGTCAACAATGGAGCCAGTATTTTGTGTGAAGCAACTAATAGAAAAGTTTAGGGAAAAGAAGAAAAAGCTGTGTATGGTATTTATAGATTTGGAGAAAGTGTATGATAGTATATCGAGAGAGGTTTTAAAGTGGACATTAATAAGAAAAGGGATTCCCGAAAAGGTACATTAATATAATAGAAGATATGTATGATGGCACTTGTACCAGGGTAAAAAGTGTAGGATGAGTATCAGAAGGTTTTCGGGTAGTGCACCAAGATTCTGTTTTTAGCGCTTACTTATTCTCTATAGTGATGGATGAAATTACTAGAGAAATACAAGGAGAGGTGCCGTGGTGCATGTTGTTTGTTGACGATATAGTGTTAATAGGAGAAAATAGAGAGAAAATTAATCAAAGGCTAAAGGTCTGGAGATCAGCTCTTAAAGAAAAGGGTTTAAGAATAAGTAGAAGTAAGACAGAGTATATAGAGTACGAGTTTGACAAAGGAAAACACGAGGTAGGTGAAATAAGGAGACCAGTGACAATAGGCGAGGACGTGATTGGAGAGGTGGAAAGTTTTAAGTATTTAGGATCAGTTGTGCAAAAGAGCGGTGGTATTGACGAGGATGTAAGATACAGGATTAAGTTCGGGTGGTTGAAGTGGAGAGAAGCGTCTGGTGTCTTATGTGATAAAAGAATTCCAATGAGGCTGAAAAATAAATTCTACAAGACTGTAGTGGTACCAGCTATGATGTATGGTTCAGAGTATTGGGCAGTTGACAATTAAGTAGAGCAGAGAATGCTTAGATGGACGAGTGGAGCGACTAGAGAAGATAGGATAAGGAACGAGCATATAAGAGGGAGTATAGATGTAGCATCAATCGTGGAAAAGATGAGAGAAAATAGTCTTAGATGGTTTGGTCATGTTATGAGAAGAGAAGAATCGGAAGCTGTAAGAACAGTTATAGAAATGAATGTTGAAAGAAGAAGAGGTAGAGTAAGACCAAAAGAGTTGGAGGGATGCTATTGAATGTGATGTGATCGTAGATGATGTGGGAGATCGTGTCAAGTGAAAGTTTAGGATAAAGGTGGTCGACCCCAATTAGTTTGGATTAAGGCGAGGAAGAAAAAGAAGAATTGTTTAATGATTGTATAATTTATGTGATGAATGTGTATAATGATTTTGAAACAGTATTATTATGTTAATTAATTCTTTTTTGTTTTTAGCTTCGATGCAAAGCTCAGATGGTATTCATTTAACTATAATGTATTTTATAAAATAATTTATTCAAAATTAATGAAAAATTTTAGAAAATTTTATATAAAATATTTAAAAATGTATGATTCAATTAAACACAAATCATTATTCTTGGTGTTTTTATTTGAATTTAATTTGAATTATCGTATTATTATATTATTTAAATATTTATGTAGTGTTGTACACGTTCAATAATATATAAAAAAACAAAATTACCGTAATTAAAATTGTTACTGTACATTTTGAAAAAGGTACACACAATTTTAGTGTTGAAAAGTGGTCCCATTGATTTACCTACATAAAAATGGTAGACTGATTCTAATCACCTCCCTATATTGTCCATGTAATTTTTTATCAGTGTCCATTCTGTTTATTCTGTGATATTAGTTTCACGTGTATGTTTATTGTAAGTTTGTAACTCTCCACGTGCCACCTGTTATTATTCTCGCGTATCCCGTCGTCTATGACCTTGAGACTAGACTGTCGTAATGCTTTCACCCCACATACCGGCAACACTAATCCTGTATGATTTTTTTATGACGATATTCGCAGGTATATAGCCTTTATTATCAATAGTAGTAAGACAGTTGTGAATTTATAAATATACTAACTGCCAATACAGAAATTATATCTATTGATAGTCATGATTGACAAACACTCCGTTACTGTGATAGCGATATCGTAAAAACTAAAAAATAAATATAATTTAAAAGCTTGTTTTTTTAGTTTTTTAAACTATATTTATTAAGATATAAGTATTAAAAAGTAAAATCATCTTTTGCGATCTACCAGTTCTCCAAAATATTTACTCTTTTTAAGACATGTTTGTTTACATGAAAATAAGCACTTGGACGCCTTCATTATTTATGTACTATGGACGTTTAAAGTATGCAGCATTATGATTATTTTTTTTTTATATTTTAATGCCGAGTTTACTATCATCTATTAGAATACTTTTTGAAGGTGCACCTCTAAAAAGCATTCAGAAAAAACCTAATTGCATGTATCTAGGGTTTATTCTGACGAGTCAAATAATAATGTTTACCCTTCCGAACAAAGAATTATTATTCTATCATGCAATTATTTTCATCCTGAGGAGAATAAGCCACTTAAGTTGCTTCCTTTCGAAAGTATTCAAGTAACTATGCAAATAAGATTATTTATATCATTAGACATTTATTAGCTGCAATCATCCAACGGCTAGGAATAAAAATGTTAATAACTTTTAACATACTGATCCAAAAGTTATCAAATATCATTTTCCTAATCAGATAATTTTCTATTCAATAAACTAATTAAATATATATGTTTCTATTTAAAATAAACAAAGTTAACACCCTTAAAAGTTATGCGGGATGATGTTAAAAAATAATTTAACAATTGATATATTAAGAAATAAAATATGTAATTAAAAAATTGTTTTTCAAAATTGTATTTATTTTACGAGTAATTGAGTGGATTATAATAAACAGGTCATCTTGTATTATCTTCATAAATTTTAAATAAAAGTTATTATCTATTGTAATATTAACTAATCTCTATTATTTACTCGCTGTCCAGTTGAACATAGAGAATTCTATAGGAATATATTTAGAAAATAATATGGAAAGTGTACAAAAAATAAATAATAATCAAGCTACTCTAGAAACTTGTTTACCATCAAAAATGTTTATATGTATACATTTTTTATGACCTTTATTTGTTTATAATTTACTAACTTTGGGTGAAAAAAAAAATCATTTAAAATTTATATGCCAGCATAACATTGGTCAATGCGGATTATACTTACCCCTGTGTTTCCCACTCTAAAACGTCTCTACAATTCTACATTATGTTGCAATGAAAATTTATTACAAAGAAAGCTCAAAATTTTAAACTCAGTATTATAACTGTATAATATATAAATATATATACTTTTGCAAACGTATTATTTCCACTTCATTAATTTTCCAGAAGAACAAATATAAATACATTAATTACATTAACGTAATACAAAATTAACTTTCTAAACAAGGTTTTTGAAAATATAATGGTCAAACTCATGACATCATTGTTAAATACAACACCATTTATATCAAAAAAATTTATATCCAACTCATGAATGACCTTTTAAAAAATAACACAGTTTAAATGTTACTCTTCAATTAATAAGTTAATTACTTTACCAAAATACACTAGTTTTAAGCGTTTTGCTAATCAATTATTTTTCAGGAATTAAATTTTTTAAATTTAGATAAATTTCTTTGAAACCATATTGACAAATATTAAGTATAATATTTCGATTAAAAATAATTGAACAAATAATAATATGAAGTTATTAATTTCATAGAGCATTTTTATTTAATCAAAATCAACATCATTATTTTTATTAAGTCTAATGAAACATATGCATTATAAATTATTCCGTTAGGTAATCGTTTATAAATGTTTTTATAAAAACAGTAAATGGCGTTTTTTACAGAAACACCAATTTGATGATATAAGACACCGTGATAAAAATTAAACTTGAATGTTATGATAACTACAATTATACATTTGGTGGACTTCACTAGGTTATGACACAACACTACGTAAACAATTTTATAAAATTAGAAAACGTGCCCTAGGATAGGACAGCTTTTGATTAAGTGTAAAAATAAGGTTATAAAACATTTAGAAACTTCTAAATTTTATATTTTTAAACGATAGTAATAATTGAGGCAATCACATAGGAAAGAAACTAAATCCAAAAAAATGGAATTGTAAATCTTTATAATTTGACGAAAGAAAATAAATCAAATTACTATATAAAATTTAATTAAGAAACATTAGTATAAAAACAAGAAAAAATCTATTAAAGATATGTGTATGAAGCATTGCCCTATTGTGTGTGAAACCTGGACAATAACAATTGGAGAACAAAGAATATTTGAGGCATTTGAAATGTGGTATTTTAGGAGAACTGTGTAGGATAAGTTGGATGAACAAAGTAACCAATGAAGAAGTAATGGATAGAATATCAGAAGGTAAGTTACCATGGAAGACATAGAAGACGAAATGAATGCATAAACCATATAATGAGACACGAACGATTATTAAAACTGATTATAGAAGGAAAGGACCATAAGGGAACACCAATATTAGAATACAACGGATAATAAAGGACCAAGGAAGGGGCTCATATATAAAAATGAAAAGGAAGGCGAATAATAGAAAATAATGAAATATGGATGCAAACCAATCTACCGATTGAAACCATCAGAGAGAGAGATACAAGATGATAAAAATTGTGTTAAAAACAAAAAGACGCAAGTCATTAGTCCTTGAAAATAGGTTTTTGGAAAATTGACCACTTANATTAAAAACAAAAAGACGCATGTCATTAGTCCTTGAAAATAGGTTTTTGGAAAATTGACCACTTAGTAAAATATTTAATGCGTAAAAATTGCTTTTAAATTATTGAATATATAAATTCATATTTAAAATGAATTAGATTCCATTTTAATTTAAATATCACTATAACCAAGAAAAATTTCACAAAACTATTTTCATGCGCATTCGCATCTAAGTGTTTGATATTTATTTTGATCACTGTCCGATTTCAATCTTTACGGGTTTAACTGTGATACCTTTTTTAAGTTCTAACTAGGAGCTCATCTAAAATATTTCTTTGGCGATATTAAGAAAAATAATCTCGAGCAACACTGGTTGATTCTTTTAATAATTTTCATATTGAATACTTTTTTTAGGTTTATTAAAAGTTATAGGGTGCGAGTAAGAAAACCTGTAGGACCATATAATACGCATGACTAATGCAAAATGTTCAGGTATTTAAATAGAATAGCTATTTTAATTTCTATTTGAAAATTATTAATTTAAATTATGAGCTTTTTCAAATATTTACATATTAATAGAATAATAAAAAACTTACTTATATTCGTATCAAATTAAATGTATACTAATTTAGTAAGGCTATATACTATATTCAATTACAAACAGAGAATCCCAAACACTAATAAATTTTTAATAGTAATTAAAATTATTTAATAATGATTAGGATAATCGATAAATAATAACTTATTATAAAAAACATATTTACTAATATAATCATGTGTTTAAAATACTATATAGTTTAGTCATTTCATATACAATAATGAATTTTTATTTTAGAACGAGTTTTTATTTCTACGTATTTTTTTGTAGGACTAGTCATTTTATTATAGTAATAGAAATTAAATAACTTGTTTTTAAACAACGTGTATAATATAAATTTGGTTTTTATCATCCTGAAAACTTATAAAAACTCACATAAACGACGACATGCGTCAATGTAATCTAAGAAGACAATAACTAACAAAAAAATTTCTTTAAAATGATAATTGTAACGAAAGTTATAAGTCTTGTCTATTTCCGTCAAACTATTCTGTGTTTAGAATATTTTTTCTTATGCGTTTGATTTCCTAAATTAAATTTTATTGTGTTACTTCAAATTCAATATTCAATTTATTTTATAAAAAAAAAATAAAGTAGAATATTTAATTAGATGAAATTTATTTATTAGTTTATTATTTTATTGAAACTGTCAACATATTATTTTGTCAAATAAAACTTCTATAATAATAATAATATTTGGAAAATAAAGGCTGTTGAAGATATTCTATATAATGGCGATTAAATAATAAAGTCGTCGTTGGAACGCAAGTAGACACAAGTAAACAACTTTTTGGCTATACGATTTCGACTTCAACAATGTCATTATAAATTTCCCCGTGGTCTAAAAATCTAGTTCTGCAAATATACTATTTGTAACGGTTCATTTTAACAATATAGATAATCTTATTTAACTACTATTTATGTTTTAATATTATAATTTTGAACAAACTAAATGTTTGTTTTTAGTTTGACAAAAATGTTTGTAATAAGCTTTTGCAAGTCATCTTACGCCGACTCTAATGCACCTAAAACTGGTCAGTGAGAGTATGTTTTACGTGTCAATTTAATATATTCAATCTTCATATTGTTTAATTATTATAA